TTGTTTGGCAGGAAGGGGGTCCCCGAGAGCTGCACGTTCTCTGGGCCGTGGAGGTGGGCGGCTGGGGATGGCTCTGCCTACATCAGACTCCGGCCCCAGGTGCTGCCTCGTGGCCCGCGGCCTCTGCTGCCCGCACGGACGGAAGCCCCGCCATGGCCCAGCAGAGAGCCCTGCCGCAGAGCAAGGAGACGCTGCTGCAGTCCTACAACAAGCGGCTCAAGGACGACATCAAGTCCATGATGGACAACTTCACCGAGATCATCAAGACCGCCAAGGTGGGTGGGGACAGGAGCCCAGGACTGCCCTGCTCTGGCCCAGCGTGTCCCGGAGCACCCTGGCCAGGGGGGGTACAGCTGCAGGGCCCTTGCCCCCATGCCGAGAACATCTGGGGAGCAACAGGGGGTCGACGATGACAGACAGGTCAGCAGACAAACCAGCTAATTACTGGTCCTGGTGAGGCAGCTGTAGGGACTATTCAGATGCCAGCTCAGCGCCAGCGGCTTGCCTAACGGAGGCTGGGACAGGGACTTGGCGTCTCAGTGCTTTGGCGTCCCACTCATAGGGCCCTGGGTGAGTTGATCTGTGTAAAGTGGTTGCCTCGGGGCCTGGCAGGGACCCCAACATGGTAGCGGTTTCCAGTGAGTGGCGTCAGGAAGAGGAGCTGGGGAAGCCCCCGAGGGGGGAGTGAGCCCTCAGCGTTGGCTCAGTCGGCTGGATCGGCTGGATAACTTGCCCAAGACCCTTCTGCTAGAAACCGGCAGAGCCAGGGTTGGAGCCCCGGAGGCCTGGCTCCCACCCCTGACGCCAGCCCGTACCCTGGCAACGCCCCTGGGAAGCCCTGTCCGGGCGGATGGATGGGGCAGCTAATGCCCTGGACTGGCAACAAGGCAGGCCGAGCGGGCAGGCTCCTGATTTACCGTCCGAGACACTGAGCAGGCTCCCTGCCCTGTCCGGCTTCAGGCTTGCCCACCTGCAATCTAGGGAAGGCTGTCCAGGCTTCTGTGAGGAAGTTTTTAAATTTACATTATTTTATTTTACTTATTTTTTTTCACCTGAGGGTATTTCCCCATTGGTTTTTAGAGCGAGTGGAAGGCGGGGAGAGAGAGACATCAATGTGAGAG